TACCGTTCCATGTATGGACAAAAAATGGGAAATTTTACCAAATAGCCGAGAATAAAGTATTTGGAGAAATGACTTTGCCCAATTTTAACAAAAAGGAAAAAAATTCAAGATATTTTAGTTGATCAAATGATAAAATTATTATTTAATTAATAGTAAAATATTCACCCATTGGGAAGTCGTGGAGTTGGGTTCTTATCATAAGGCACATTCATAATTGAACTTTTGGGAAGTCTTCATAATTTGTGCCTTTATTATAATTCGTTGTTGCTCAAATTATAGATAATCATTAGTGTTGTGTGTAAGCACAAGGCTTGGGAAGAAATAGACTCGGAATTGTAATGAAAATGAATTGTTTCTTATCTTTATTAGAAAAAATAAAACTGCAAATATTCCCTAAGTTAAATTATGTAAATTAAATGTTTACAAACGTTCATGATTACGATACAAGTGTCGTTACAAGACTTATAAACTTCCATAAGAACGACATAAGTGACGTTATTTAACTTATGAGCATCCATGAGAACAACACGAGTTTTGTTATTGAGATGAAAACATTCGTGAGAACAGTACTAATGTCGTTATTGACTTATAAGAGTCCATTGTAATTTATATCATTTCAATCATTCTTTATCACATATCTATTGCTTGAAGTCGTCGTGTTGGAAACAAATCAAAATGTAGGAGAAAATAACAAAACGACACAAATATTGTTACTAAGAAAAAAATGACCTTGTGTTGTTCTATTTGTAAACACGATTATAAGCAGCAACTGAAATAAAAATGACCCTTTGTGTTGTTTCTAAGATGATAACGTCTATTAAAACGGTATACTTATCGTTATGTTTGTAAATGTGTTCATGAGATGGTACTTGTGTTGTTACTGAGATGAGAACGTCTATTATAACAGTATAACTGTCATTATGCTTGTAGATATACTTGTCCATTAGAATGACACATCTGCTGTTACTAAGATTAAAAGTTTTAAGAGAACGACACAAGTACCGTTTAGAGGATGAAAAGGTATTTGAGAATGACACTTGTGTCGTTACCAAGATGAAAAGTTCTAAAAGAATGACACAGTGTCGCTATCGAAATATAGTTTGCCCATGAGAACTTCACTTGTACCGTTACTTTGAAGAAAACGACACTTATACCGTTCTGTATATAGACAGGACTATAAGCATGCACAACCCATCCATGCCCCCGAGAACCAATAAGTTGAACTCATTTCAGTTGCAAGATGGACATGTCGTCTATAAAAGTTGAGAGATGTACTCATTAATTATATATTCTAACAGATCATACAATGACTTGTAATTTCACCAAATCAATATCATATAATCTATCTATCTTCAACCGTTTTTTGTCACGTCTGACTTTCTTACATTAGGGGATCTAATGTATGAGGTCGTTACATTATAAAAGAAATAAAAAATTGGAGAAATCAACATAATGACACAAGTGCCGTTAAACGACACTTGTGCCTTTATATCTATAAACGCGAGTATAAGCAGTCACGACCCATCCATGCCCAAATAACCAATAAGTTGAACTCATTTCAGTTGCAAGATGGACGTACCGTTTACAAAAGTTAATAGATGTTTTTATTAAATATATTTTCTAACAAATCAATACAATGACATGTAATTCACCAAATCGATATCATATAATCTATATATCTTCAACTGTTCTTTGTCACGTGATAAGTGTAGTTTCTACACTTATTCGAGGTCATAAATCATTATATTTTATTGTATTTTAGATAAAATTTCATATAATTTATGTTATGTTGTATTTTGTAGGTGAAACTTAATGTTTAATGAAGAATTAGAGAAAAAAATGCAAAAGTGACGAAAAATGACAAAAATAAAAGATAAAATCTTGGAGAGAAATAATACATTAAATGAGTTGGAGTTAAATGGGCCTTAATTGACTTGTATTGAAAATTTTAATTGGACCTCGACAAGATAGAAACAGAAGAAGAAAAAAGGGCATAGAGAAAAAGAAAGGAAAAAGAAAAGAGAGAAGACCAAGATGCTAAAAAGTAAAAAAGAATGGGAAAGAAAGGGGGGGAGAGAGAGAGAGAGAGACAAAAAAGACACAAAAACGTGGAGAGTGGAAGAATTTTGGGGAGTCAAACTTGGTGGCTCATTAAATTATTATTATTATGGCACTGTTTGAGCCAAATTATTATATAATGAGAATGAAAAATATAGTTGTTATTGGGACCCACATAAGAGATAAAAATTTTGAATTTAAATGTTGATGTGATGAATAACGGTTATATTTTTCATTTTAATGAAATAATAATATAGATCAAACGGGGGCTATATACACACACGCGCTGGAGGAGAAACGTACAGAAGCTACAGACAGAAATATACATATACACACAGAGAGACAAGCAAGAAAGGAGACAGCAGACACGTGTAGATTTATGTTTCGTCTATTTTCGATGATGTCGTTCCAATTATGCGTATTTTTATTTTTACAGTATGAATAAC